ATGTATTTTATTTTTTTAAAGAATTATTTATTTATGCATACAAGAAATGGGGTACAGGTCAGAGGTGTGGGGGTAAGAGGATTCGCCAGAGACAGAGCGGGGAAAAGAACAGGCACACTGACTGAAATATATTGCTGAGGGGAGCAGCGGGTGAGACAGGAAAGGTCTGCTGCGCCATGTGGGGAGCTCCCTGGCCAGGGATTGAACTCATGCAGCAGTGGCTGCAGATTGCTTCATAGTGCTGAGACTTAATCCCTTGAGCCCACCAGAAAGGCCCAGGAAAGACATTTTTTAATAGCATTTCCATGCATGTTAGGGTTGTGTTTTTAACTTGCCATATTGTAAAGTATGTTTTCTTATAAAGGTGGTATGTGTTCTTTGCATTTAAGGAAAGGGATGATACAGAAGAGAAGGGGACAAATTGCACTACACATAGACCTGTTGTGACCATGTATGAACACTGAGTGTTTCTCCTTTTCTCACTTAACATAAAAATTTCCTTGCTTTTTGCAAATCTGACATAGATCTCATTTTAGTGACGGTGTCATTTGTGTGAGTCAGTTCCCCATGCTTGCTCCTTTACTTTGTTTCTGGCTTCAATACAAGTAGTGCCTGAGAGGCTGTCTTTCTGAATTATTTCTCTTCTCTGATTTCTGGGTTGTTGCCTTAGGACAAATTCCCAGAAGTGGTAGGACTGTGTGGAACCTGTAGAACTAAGATGTTTGTTTCTTATAAAATTGCTTTCCCATAAATGCCGAGTGATGGTCAACATCCCATACTTTCCTGTCCAGCCCCCCATCTTCACCCAGCCAAGAGTCCTTGTCAGGTAGACTTGGATATTTTAGGGGACATTGCAGGCCATCTATTCTTAGCTAGCGAGAGTAAGACCAGGGGACTGATGTGCTCAGTGCAGAGGTGCTTTGGAGAAGCAACATTCCCTTCTGTGCTTTGAGCTGACATCTTAGCTCTGCACTGGAGAGATACATTCCCCAAACAGGAGGGTGCTCATTAAACACCATCATTTATGGTGCTGAGGAAGCAGGGTTTGGGTCGTGGCAGCCTGTGGTTGCAAATGTGCACCAGATCCAGGCCATGCCCTTTTTGTAGGGTTTCATTGTAATTAGGTCAATGTTTTCTTTTTTTCTTTTTGTAACTGCATGGTTAGTATTGCAGTAACACTAATGAAACCAAGGACAAAATAGTCATCTTCCAAAATTCAAGCTTCTTAAATTTTCCAGGGATCCTTCCTACTCTTGTCCTTACACACATATGCTTTTTACTTTATAGTTCTAATCATAGCAGAGACAGTTTTTGTTCTGCTTTTCTCATTAGCTACTCAAGTTTCCCATGTTGCTATGCATTTTTCAGGATTACCATTTGATGGGTGCATAGTATTCCATTGAGAGGGCTTATTTATCCATTTCCCTCTTATGAACATCTGTTTCCAGTTTTCCCCACTCTAATAAGTATGTAGCTCAAATAGCTTCACTTGTAGCTCTCTCAAGTGATCACGGACTATTTCCTTTTTATACCTTCACATAAGCGGGACCTTAAGTTACTTGGAGTAGGATATGTAGACAAATCGTCATCCAGATTGAGTGATTGCCTGCTTGACACCAGCATTTCATAAGAGCTCCTGTTTCATCAAAATTTTGTAGATATCGAACATGGGGAAGTTGTGATTTTAAGAACTTTTGACAACTTGCTCTCTTTCCCAACATGACATGGGTAAATCCCTCAGGTTCAGAAAGGAGTAGAAGTGCAGGTCATCCACTGCCTGGGAGCTGTCCTCTGACGCCTCACCCTGTGGCCATTGGTTGGGTGGTGGCAGGGTCAGCAAGCTGGGAGGAGCAGAGGTGTGACAGGCACTGCTGCTCTGGGAACTCATCTGTTCAGGGAGAGTGTCTGCTTTCTACCTGCCTCAGCATTCTTTTGGGGCAAAAAATGTGCAGGTGTGACAATGACCTTTGCAAAGATGCTGGGCTGTCTAGGTAATCACTGAGGATTGTCAGCAGGCATTGTCTATGATGAAGGGAAACTGCACACAACTTTTGTGCCCCATAGTAAAGTGAAAATCTCACCTTCTGGAATGTTAGGATATTTTTACAAACCCTGTGTCCTCAGTGCCTGTGGACTCTCAGTGGACACTGAGGAATGTGCAGGAGGTTGACTCATAGTCCAGTCACAGACCAGCTGGGCTGCTTCTGCACATTTCTTAATTTCTCTAGGCCTCTATTTCCTCATCTGTAAACGGGTGACTGTGGTGAAGATCTGACTAGACGATCTATGTAAGGCCTGACATAGAATAAGAATCCTTATTAATGAGCAGTATTGGGCTTAGCTTGAAGAAATGAAAAATTACTGTGTTTTTTAGATTTTGCTTAATGACATAAAACCACTCAAATACTCATAGGAGTGAAACAGCAAGCTCCTTTTCATGAGAGTAAAAGTGAATGGTTATATGAACTTTATAGAGAAGGTATCTCAGATGAAGCTCCCTGTTAACAGTGGGTTTGGAGAACCTTGTTGAAAGAGATGGATGGCATGGCTTAGTCTGTCTCTTGTGTGTGGTGGAAGCTTCTAGCAATATTTATTTTTATTTTTTAAAGATTTACTTATTTGTGCATACAAGAGCTGGGGTGCAGGCCAGAGGTGCAAGAGGTAAGAGGAGTCACCAGAGACAGAGTGGGGATTGACTGAAATACACTGCTGAGGGCCTCCCTGGTGGTGCAGCTGGTTGAGCACAGCGCTGTGAAGCTGTCTGCAGCCTCTGCAGTGTCGGTTCGATCCCCGCTGGCCTCGGAGCAACCCACATGGCGAGCTGACCTCTCTTGTCTCGCCCGCTGCTCCCCTCAGCAGTATATTTCGTTAGTCTGCCTGTTCTGCTCTCCGCTTTGTCTCTGGTGAATCCTCTCACCCTCCCATGCATCTGGCCTGTACCCTGGCTCTTGTATAAATAAAATAAATCTTAAAAAAAAAAATTAAAAAAAAAAATACACTGCTGAGGGGAGCAGCAGGTGAGTCAGGAGAGGTCTGCCGCACCATGTGGGTCTCCTCTCTGGCTGGGGATCGAACTCATGCTGCAGTAGTTGTGGACAGCTTCATAGTGCTGCATCTTGACCCCTTGCGCCACCAGGCAACATTTAAAAACATCCTCATTGGTCTTTGAACTATGTGCTTCTTGGGGTGTTTCCTTAGTGAGAGGACACGTTTGGTCCTCTCCAGTGCATAAAACCTTTCTAGGGAGAGCTTCCCCTGCTGCATCAGAGCACTTTAATGGTCTCACCTAGAGAGATACAGGGAATTTATTTTCTGATACATTTTGGGGTACAAACCTCAGTGCTGGTTTTCATTCCATCATAGTTATTCTGTGTTCTCACGAAAGAAGAGGTTAACAAATCCTCAAAGCTTCTAAAGCTAGAAAGACTAGTTGTAAGTTGCAGTATTGCCTGTGGAGAGGCAGGGTGGTGAGCTGAGGACAGGCCTACATCTTCACACCGGGGATGGCATCCTGTGGTGGTGGTTGTGCCGGGCCCATCTGCCCAGGCATTTGTCAGCACAAGTGCCAGCAGGCATGGTTTGTGCCTAGTCTCAAAAGCTGGAAAGAAGGCAGAGCTGCTCCCTGGCATTCCCCCATCCCAGTCTCTTGAGAAGGAAAACAGCACAAGTAGGTGACCAATTTGAGTGCTCAGATAAAATGGTACAGATCGCGGGGAAGCATTTTCTCTTGTGTTTAGTGACCATCTAGAAGGCTTTCAGCATGGAGTTAAGATGCCTAGAAACACATGCAGTGACCAGCATTCAGCAGAGCTGGGCAGGGAGCTTTGTTCCCCAAAAGGCACGTGTTTGTGGTCTGGATGGTCACAACTCCTGCAGGGCGGGAGCTTCAGGCAGAGTCAGACTGTCCTATGGGTCACCCCAACTTCACAAACACCCTGAAATCCCATGGCAACTAATTAACTTCAGGATTCTAGGCTCAAAGGGCCATTGGGCTGTTGGCATAGCTTTTATTACACTGGCTGCTTGCTTCCCCTAGAGAAGATGGCTGCGGACAAGCACCCGTGCCCCCTGGGCAGCGTGGGGTGTCCGGTTGGGACATGGACCAGACTGGCATCTGGGCTCTTCAGTGGTCTGAATCACAGTGAAGACTTTCTTGTCTCAGCAGCTGGATGCCCATCCCTCACTGAGCTCCATGCAGGGTGGTTATTCAGGGTCAAGACTGCATACTGTCTCTGAAACATTTCCTCAGTGCAATTGTGGTTGGTCTCTTGTCCCACGCAGACTCATACTGAGCCTGAGAAGGTGCCTCTAGCCCCACCTGAGGACACCAGGTGCAAGACTGCAGGGATGAAAATTGGTCTGGGGCCACTGGGAGGGCAGGTTCTGGTTGGTCCTCACCAGCCAGGGTCTCCTTGGCTGTGTGTTTATTTTGGGCATGGGCCTCTGGCTTGGTGTCTCTGGGTCTCTCACTTTCTGTGCCTTCGGAATCAGGAGTAAGGAGCTGCAAAACTGCAAAACTCCTTACTCCTGATTCGAAGGCACAGAAAGTGAGAGACCCAGAGACACCAAGCCAGAGGCCCATGCCCAAAATAAACACACTACTGGAGCCAAGGAGACCCTGGAAAAATACCGGATGGTCTTACTCGTAGCAGGAATCTAGAAAACTTAAATAAGGGACCAGGAAAAAGAGTAATTATAAGAAAGTAAAAATCAAAATCAACAAACAACTATGAACCAGAGACACTCTATGGGGGGTGGGAGGTGGGGAGGGGAGGGATTGGGGTCAAAATAAGGGGGTCGTAATTGTATGGGGAATATAAAAATAAAAAAAATTATATTAAAAAAACCCCAGCAAATTAAATGAAATAAAAAAAGGGGGGGGGGAATAAATGCATTGAACACAGGCCACGTGTTTGAGTCTTCACAATCCTGAGTCACCTTTGGCTGCTACCTGTGTGTCGGAATAGGCATTAATACCTGCTTCCCTTGGTGTCTTGCAGCCTGCAATGTGTGGTACCTGAACTCTGTGGAGATGGAGTCTCTCACGGGCCACCAAGCTGTGCAGAAGGCCCTGAGCCTTACGCTGGTCCAGGAGCCACCACCCTTGTCCACCATTGTGCACTTCAAGGTGTCGGCCCAGGGGATCACCCTGACGGACAATCAGAGGAAGTGAGTGTGCCGGGTGCTGGGGCTGAGGGTGGGTTGTCTTTGCTCACATGCCAGCTGCTCATCACCCGAACCATGCCCTGGGCAGGGCTGGGTCCTCAGAAATGATTGTAACCCAGCGTCTGTCCACACTTCTCCCTGTCATCATATGTGGTCCAGGATCCAAGTAAAACTATGAATATTTAACCCAAAGACTTTTTTCTACGGAATCAGTAAAACCTTTAAAAAAAGGTCTTTGGAGCTTTGAATGTTATCTTTATGTATAATTTATAGAAAGTATAGTTATATATGGTTTTGCAAAGCAAAATAATATTCAAGTTGGGAACTCAGGGTCTATGTTAGAATTCATTCATCATTTCTTTTTTTTTTTTAATTTTATTTTTATATTTCCCATACAATTGCAATCCCCTTATTTTGACCCCAATCCCTCCCCACCCCGCCCCCTGCCCCCCATAGAGTGTCTCTGGTTCATAGATTTTTGTTGATTTTGATTTTCACTTTCTTATAGTTATTCAATTTCCTGGTCCCTTATTTAAGTTTTCTAGATTCCTGCTATGAGTGAGACCATCTGGTATTTTTCTTTTTCTTTCTGGCTTATTTCGCTGAGCATGATCCCTTCCAGTGCCATCCATGTTGCTGCAAATTGCATGTGTTTATCTTTTTTGAATGCTGAGTAATATTCCATGGTATATATGTACCACATCTTCTTGATCCAGTCATCTATTTTTGGGCATTTGGGTTGTTTCCAAAGCTTAGCTATTGTAAATAGTGCTGCTATAAACATAGGGGTGCAGGTGCTCTTTGGAATTGATGTCTCTGTGTCCTTTGGGTAAATACCTAGGAGTGGAATTGCTGGATCATATGGAAGCTCTATGTTTAGTAGGTCCAGAAATCTCCACACAGCTCTCCATAGTGGTTGGACCAGTTTGCACTCCCACCAACAGTGCAGGAGAGTTCCTTTTTCTCCACATCCTCGCCAACATTTGTTGTTGCTAGCTTTTTTAATATGTGCCATTCTATTGGTGGTCATCCCATTTTAGATGAGTGTGACTTGAAAAACACTTTCAATACTAAGATCATATTATATTATATAATATATGATAGTATATTCAGCACAGTTGTCAGAGTCAGTTCTAAATGAGTAGCCAGATGCATATAATACCTGTATTTCTCCCACCAACAGAGGCTTTAACCTTAGGGTCAAAGGCATTTCAGGTGCAATTACTATTTACTTGTTATGGCAAAAGCCTGGTATAAGGGAACTAGGTCATTGAATATGAACATAGAGTTCCTGCCGAACTCGGGGAACCCCAGCCATCCCCTGGTGCCAGTGGGGTGGTGTTCAGACCTTGAGCAGAACCTCTGTCCCTGATTTCAGGATCAAGCTGGTAGGGGGAAGGAGACTTATTATAACCTCTGCCAAAAAAGAAAGGGGATATAGGACTTGGACTTTGGGTCTTAGATCTGGGTCCTAGAGCTCCCCAAAACTTACCAGCAGGGTGTCTGTATACCAGTGCTTCCCCCTGCGATGCTTGGTTTCTTAATCTTTCAACCTCCACTGAAGTCCTAATCTTGGAATTTTGCATCAAATTTGTGCTGCAACTACCCTATGCAGCTCAGCCCAATAGTGGACACAAGGTTGGGCCAGGAAACCCGCTCATTGCTTCACAGCCTCTAGGTGCTCCACTGATAGGTGTGTTTTCTGTATCTCCCTAGCTTCCTAGTACCCTTGTAAATCTGGAGATGGGTCTTGTCTGTATTGCTCAGAATCTTTCCTATTGCAGGTAACACAATTTGAATTTGGATCATGTGATGCTGGACAAGGGAGGTCTCTAACAACAAGACACCAGCTTTAACAAGTAGGAAGGCAGCACAGCCATAGGGTCCCCTGGGCTGACAGATGTCCAGGCTCTGCCTGTCTCTTTCTGGTGCACTGGCTTCTCTCCCCATCTCATGAGCACCCCCCCCCCACCCCACACCAGGAGCAAAGCTACCAGCACTGGGGGACACTTCTTAGAGCCATACCTCAGGAGAAGGGACTGACACAGCAGGATGAGGGATAGGGGGAAGACGGTGCTCAAAGAACAGGGAGAGCTGGCAGGCAAGACCACAGACGCCGCCTTGTGGGCTGGATGAGGACAGGTTATGCCAATGTAACCAACTTTGTGGCCCAAACCCAGCAGCTCTTCCTGGTGGATATAACCTGACAGTTTACACTGTCTGCTCAGATTCCTCATCATGTATAAGAGGCTCCTGTGGGAGCTGGGCAAAAGTACAAGATGCCCCTTTTGCTGGCAAGAACGTAAAGCTGGAGACAGAGGTGGCTTCCTCAGGAGGATGGTGGGAGGTCCCAGCAGCCACCTCACTCACTCCGGTGGGTGCAGCTCCTCCACTTGGTTCCTATTCTTCTGTACTGACAACGTTATTCCCTGCACCCCGAGACATGCTTCATTCTGAGAGACAACTTTCTTGAGAACCACCCTGCCCAGCTTCATGTCTGTGGAATGCTCATGAGTATGCGCTGTGTCCTTCCCTCCAAATGACTACTAAAAGCTGAAAATAGACTCCTGCTCCTGGGTCTCCCCATGGGAGTCCCCACCGGGACTATCAGCGGTTTCCCCTACATCCCAGTAACCAGGCCTGTCCTCCCATGTCCCCCAGGCTCTTCTTTCGGAGGCACTACCCGGTGAGCAGCGTGATTTTCTGTGCGTTGGATCCACAGGACAGGAAGTAAGAAAGCTGAGATTTTACTAAATAATAAATATACTTCCTCTAACACTTTAAGTTAATACAAAAATTAACATAATTTCTTTTTTCTTTGATTCTCAAGGTGGATCACAGATGACCCTTGCTCAAAGTAAGTGGGCGGATGTGTCTATATTCTTAGTTTATAGTCACAGTCCAGAGTTGAAGTCTGTCCAGATTGCCAAATGGGGGGTTCTCATCAGGAAATGTCTATATAGCTCATGGGTTTGGGATTGACTTTAAGCAGAAATGCTCAAGAGAGGGGCTCAGGCACCTGCCCTGGCAACTCCAGAGGGCTCCCACCAGGCATGGAGACACGGCTTTGACTCAGCTCTCAGGACTGATGCTGTGCCAGACACCCACCCTTTCCACCTTCAGGCTCCTCAAAATGGGAGCAAGCACATCTTCCCGGCAGGTCTGTGAAGGCAGGAGGGAGGAGGGGCAGATTTGGATAAGCTGTTGGAAGTCACAGGGACAGGAGGAAGCAGAGGTTTGCAGGATACACTAGGCTTCGTGGAACACCATGTTCTGACCTTGGCCCCCTTTTTGCAGAGTCTTTGGATTTGTGGCCCGGAAGCAGGGCAGTGCCACGGACAACATATGCCACCTGTTCGCAGGGCATGACCCCGATCAACCCGCCAGCGCCATTGTCAACTTCGTGTCAAAGGTCATGATTGGCTCCCCAAAGAAGATGTGAACCTCACAGCCTGGAGACCCTAAGAGGGGCTGATTGGCCCTGCTGTGTAGGAGACTGTAACGGCGACATTCCGGCCCCCCGTCCACTTTCCCCCACAGGGAAAGGGCTCCTTCAACTTTACACACACACTGAACAAACAACCTTATCACCAGCTAGCCTTTCCAGAAAAAAACTGCTCACTGACACACTTTTGTAGCCAAGTGTTTCCAGGTGGAAGAAGCTGGGCACCAAGTACCTGTGCCCAGTTTCTGTGTGGGAGAGGACCTTGCAAGATCAAACCTGGCATCCTCTGAAACTTCATGGGTAGGAAGTGCCCAGCCCACTCTACTGACTTGCATGACTGACCGCAGCCCCCACCCCCCATTCCCATGGCCATCACCATGGGTTCTATCCAGCCAGTGTCCCGAGGCAGCCTGTCTTCCCAAGACAGAGATGCTGATGCACCTGAGAAGGGGATGCATGTTTGAAGAAGGTTTGAGCAGGTCGGGCTCTCCTGGAACACAGAGACGTGGACGAGGAGATGAAGGAATGGGCTGTGAGGACACGGAGGTTACTTGCCCATATGGGGGCACCCAGAGAACCCACCAATGTGGTGACAACCCCAAGTCCCCACTCTCACAGGCTCTGGGCAGGAGAGGGAAGGTGACTTGCTGGAAGTGAAGTGCTGTTTCCATTTAATTTATATTTTACTTATGCCAAATTATTTATGATAACAGACCACCATTACTATACTATACTCGCGTCCAGTGCTGCAGTCAGCAAAGCCAGGGTTTTAGGAGGTGCATCCAGCCACATGTGGGCGGTTTCCAGATTGTGGATGACTTCCCTCTGATGAGGAAGGTTCTAGTGGACTGTGGAATATTTGGGTTTAGTTCCCAGCATCTCATCATGATTACTGGTCATCATAGGGTCTGGTGGAGGTTGTCGAGAGAAAGTCCGACCATTGTAAGCTCTCACCCTTCTATCCATCAGTCCACCTGTTGGCTCCTATTGGGATGCTGTGTGTTTCCAGCATCCTGGAGAAAATGGGGGTCAGGAGAAAGAATGAATCTCAGTCGTTACATGATAATTTTAAGTGCCACTTAATCTGCATAACTCCAGCCACCTAATCAGGCTTATGCTTATATGAACATACCCAGTGCCACAGTCTGTTGGCCCAAATTTTTCAGTTGCCAGATATTTGGGAGAAGCTGATGGCCCTGCAAGTTTCCATGGTAATAAACCCATGGTGTCCCTGTCCACTGTCTGGCACTCATCCACCTGGAATGCCCCCTCTCTACTTTCCAAGTCAAGCACCAGTTCTTAGATTACTCAGGAATCACCTTCTGCTGGGTGATCACAGTGCTTTGTGATATCTGTTTTAAAGTGGGGCAGAGACAGACTCAGCCTGATCTCAGTGGGTTATGTACGTGTGTGTGGAAAAGGAGGCGGGCGAAGCCACTGCTTAGCTCCTATTGATGCACCAAACACAAGTGCCTCGTTTCTGTGCCAAATGTTTGCCTTGGTATTCTTGACCTTCTTCCCAGACACTTGTTGGCATGGTTGATAAGGAGAATATTCAGACGTCTCCCAGAGGTCTGATGTCCTGGCCCTTGGAGGAGACACAGCAGGCCTCTGGTAAAGGGGGTGCATGGGTTTGTGCTGTCCCCAGAGACACTGCTTCCTGAATGGCTTATATCCAGGTATCGCCCAAGGACCCAGGCCAGCTCTTTATTCTTTTGAGATAGGACGAGAGGTTCTTGTTAAGTGATTAGAGCAGGAGTGGGATAAGGACCGAGATATATGAACTGCCAGAATTGTGGCGACACCAGTGCCTGGGGGTGCTGGGGCCGAGCAGTTGGGAAGCCTAGCTGTGACCTTTCCCTTCGTGGTGATGGGCATCAGAAGTTTCCTCCCAGCAAACGACTCCCTCTGGGGAACCAAAGGAAGACAGTTTTCCTCTGTCTGATAACTGGTACGACCAGTGTCCTTGTCACGTGTTACATGTGCATTACAAGGAACAAGGCAAGTCCTTGAACTCTGAGCGCACGTGGTCCCCACACTAACACCGGCTCTGGGCAAAGCAACCTTTTCCAGGCACCTGGGCCCTGGGCCCACAGCAGGCACAGAAGTGCTGTTCCAGGAGTTCACGAGGGCTGCGCCCAGTGTCGGAGCTACGGCCCCAATAACCTGCTCACTAATTGTATGCTGTGTTCCTCCAGTGTTAACCTATAGCCATGTTAAGTCACCACATTTAGGGTTTCTGTGTATTTCCATGGCATCAAAGACCTTCCCAAGTCTCCTGAGCTGCCTTATATTAGTGCGTATTTTTACTTTTCTTACATTGTAAAGAATATATCCAGTATGTAAATGAATGTTCTATAAATCCTTTGTATAGTCATTTCTCTGCTTTTAAATATCATCTTTATTCAGAGTATAATAAAATTATAAGCTTGGTAAGCCTTGGCAGCAGGCATTTGTTGCGTTAGATGGACGTGCCCCAGAGGGTGTGTGTTGTGTCCATGTACGTGTGTGCCTGTGTGTGTACACACACATATGTGTGTACGTGTGTCTGTACACGTCTTGTGTCCAAGTACTTGTGTACTTGTTTATGTCTGTGTGTACATTTGTGTCTATGTGTGTGTGTCTGTTTATTTGGGAGTTGGAAGGGGATTGTTTATGGATCAGTGGATTTAATTATCGATTCACGTATGTTTTGCCTTTAGTGATGTGTTTTAAGATTTCTGCCCAGAACTCTGAAAAATTGTATTGAGTGATTTTAATTCTACTGAAATAGTGTTGATCAGAGATACTGGTACATTTTCAAAGCTCAACCCCTAATGGAACTTTGCAGGTGTCTAAACTGAGTTAGATGCAGAACCCAAAAGAGGCAGGTCGGATCACCTATTTCATCAATAGAAGCTGGTGACAGACCCAACATCACCCTCTTGGCTTTTCTGGGTTCTCGGGGTCACCACCAACCCGGCAGGTCATCATGCTGGCTTTCTGGCTTCTTGGGTCTGCCTGCCCCTCATCAGGTGTTGGGGATACAGGTATCTGCCACCCTCATTCCCTCTGCATCCTAAAGATGGAGCAGCTCTGTCATGGTGGAACACAGATGGCCACTTGATGCACCCCATCCATGTCAGTGACACACTCAGCCCCCAGGGGTGGATGTTGCTGGGCTGCACCAAGTGCTGCCTCACTCTCCTGCTGCTGCCCCAGTACATGGCCACTGTGGGCATCAGGTCAGAGACAGATGCATGCCATTTGTGGAGCTGAGTCTTCATGACACTTTCAGCTGCAGGCTGGGAAAGAAACAGAATTTGGGCCCATTTCCGTAATGGACATATAGCTAACATTTCAAATAACTGCCTATCCCCCACCTGCAGCTCTGCATCAGACCTGGTGGACTTGTGCAGGCACTTCATGTCCTCTCTGGTGAGACTCTTGGGTGTCCCTTTGTTATCCTGCATGCTGGGAAGGTAGAACTGAACTGGTCTTGGGTGCCAGGCACTAAAGTATGCAGACAGTGGTGGGTTAATGTGACTCCTGGTGGGCCCCAGCCTTGGCCTGTGGCAAGGGTAGAGGTGGGTGGGGCATGGGTCCCAAGGGCAAATGAGCACTCCTATATAGAACACAGTCTGAATTTGTGTAGAAGTCTCTCCAGAAGACTGCCAGGAGACTCACGGACAAAGTGGTTGTGCTGCCTGACAGTCACATCTGGGGTTCAACTCCTGCTCATCAACCAGCGTCCAAACACTGATGGCCTCTGTGCTCAGGGCTCCTGGACCAGTTAGTTGTGGAGCTCCAGGCCTCACAACTTGGGAGTAATAGATCTGTTAGTGATGGGCCTGTGGGCTGCTCTTTGGGGACCCTGGATCTATTACAGAAGGGCATTTTGTTTTGTCCATTGGGGAACCTTGAGTGTGTACATCCAATGTGGCTTCTCGTCTGCCTAGAGTATGTAAGGTAACCAGGGATGTGGGATGAGCCTCTCTTTGGTGTCTGGAAGAAGGGGTGACATTTCAGGGCAGGGGTGATAGTGCACAGCTGGAGTTCCCAGGTGAATGGGGGCCTGGGGTCATGCAGGGAAGTGATATTTCCTGATACGGGGCTGCCTATCTGGACACCTTTGGGAGACAGGGCTGTTGAATGGTAACCAAAAAAGATGGTCCAGAATAAAATGCCTTAAAGTTCCTGAGGCCTCAGAGGCATCAGTGCTAAGCCTAGATAGAGGCAACAATAGGGCAGGGGTGGATCCCCCTAAAGCCCACTCCCTGTAAAGGGTCGTCTGCCTAAAGGAGTCTGCAACAATCTACCGGTGGAGGTGGGAGGGGTGGAGCAATGCTGGCCAGGGTATCCTGCCCCTGGGGCTGCACTGTGTCTCCCACAGCAATGCCAATCCAGGGAACCCTCTTCAAAGCTATACTCCTTCCTTCTGGAGTTACCCTCTCCATCAGGCAGCCTGTACCAGGAACCCCAGGAATTGCCAAGTGCCAGAGACACCACCATGCAGCCAAATTAACAAGGAATGTCTTTCATATTGATCTGTCTGTTGAAGAACAGCTGGTAGCAGACCTGTAGCAGATTCCACACCTAAACAGGTCACTGCTGGCTCACAGGTAAGATTTATTTATGTATTTATTTTAAAGATTTATTTATTTATACAAGAACCGGGGTACAGGCCAGATGTGCGGGAGGGTGAGAGGATTCACCAGAGACAGAGTGGGAAACAGAACAGGCAGACTGACGAAATACACTGCTGAGGGGAGCAGCAGGCGTGACGGGAGAGGTCTGCCGCACCATGTGGGACCCTTGCCGGCCAGCCGGGATCGAACTGGCGCTGCAGAGGCTGCGGACAGCTTCACAGCGCTGCGCTCAACTGCCTGCACCACCAGGGGAGGCCCACAGAATAGTAGCCCAAATACGCAGGTAGAATAGAAAATTACTCCATATCACACCAAGCATCAGACATTTACAATAAGAATGAGAAAAGACAGTCAACAGAGGACACCATGGTGAATCAGTGATGAGATTATCCACCTAGGATGTAAAGCAGCCATTGTAACACGGCTCCAGCAAACAAATGTTGAATTTATGAATGAAAAACCAAAAATCCATGGCAAAGAAATAGAGATTATGAAAAAGAACCACACAGAAATTACTGAACTAAAAAGTATAAATTGGCAATAAGGAAAAAATTTCATGGGAGGCCCAGTAGCAGAGTGGAGACAGGAGGGAAACTTGACCTAAAGGTTGAGCAACAGAATCTCCAACCTGAGCAATAGACACAAAGCAGCATTACAAAGTGAGAAGCCTCAGAGCCTGTGGGATAATGACAGGGGGACCCAACATTCGTATCAGTGCGTCCTAGACAAAGGGGTGAAAGTGGGGATGGGGAGCACTTGGAGAAATATCCCCAAAATTCAACAATTCAACAAATCCTCCCAATTCAACAAAAGACCTGGACCTGTAGATTCAAGAAGCTCAGTGAACCCCAAAAAAGAGAAAACAAAATCCATGTAGGGTAGATCATAATTAAATTTCTGACAACTAAGGATAAAGAAAAATCTTGGAAGTGCTCAGAGGGCAGGAATGGGTGATGAAGAGGGACCCAGCAATTTAAATGAGTGAGTTTCTCAGATTATACCATGGAGGCCAGAAGAAAGTGACACCATTTTCAAGAATGAAAGAAAAGAAATAAGGTGAATTCTGTATTCAGTGGAACGATCCTTCCACAGTAAGGCATTGGCAGGTAAAGGTGAACCATGTCAAGTCACCAGATTGTGGCTCTGGGGTGGAGCTGGTCAGCACAATAAAGCAGATGTTGGTTGGGTGCCTACTATCGGCCAAGGGCAGTGCAAGCACTGGCCAGTGGCTACTATGTTTTACTGATGTGCACTCCAGCCACGGAAGAGAGCCAGGCAGCCTCTCACTGCTGCAAATCACAGTGGCCCTTCATGGTGTGCCCTTCCTTACCTCTGAGCGGTACATGGAGCCCACCTGGGTGACCCTGGGGGACAGGTTGTCAAGTCTGCAAACAACCTCAGGTGGGAGGGAGAGGAGCTGACCGGACACTTTGTTTCTTCTCCAATAGCAATTCCTGTATTTCAGGGCAGAGACAAGCTAGGTGATCTCATTACTTGCAGAAAATTTAAAAAAAAAAAAAAATCAGCTGATGGCTGGGAGGCTTCTAAGGGTGGGAAAGAAGCCTGCTCAGTAACTAGGGACCAGCGACCCATTTCCATTACAATACAGCTCAGGGCAAGAAAAGTGACTTTGCTAAGTCAAGACAGAGGCCTAGGAAAAATTGAGAAGAATTAATTGCTTATGGTTGCCCCGCTCCCCTTTTTTTTCATTCTCTGTCATGGAAGTAGCATGGAGGTAACGCTGAGAACTCAGGCTGTGGATTCCAGATGTGTTCTCACCGAGGTTGTAAGAGGCCATCCCCTCACACTCTCCCCCAGTGAGCTATTTTGCATGAACCAATCCCTCCTTCTAAACTTTGCCCTCCATTTGGACAGGAAAATACCAGCTAAACACATCTCCAGTCCCCCAGGATTTGTGGTAAATCCTGATGGTGACTCAGTACCTCATGGAGTAGCAGCACCCCCTGGTGGGTCATGCAACTTACTACAGCAAAGCATTAGCCAACTTTGCCGATTGACGCTGTATTTTTCAGCCACAGGCCTACACATGGAGAGCTCATGAAATGCAGCGTTTTAGTGTTATGAGAATGGATGCTAGTACCGAGCCATCCGGCTTTGAATCTTGATTCTGCCGCGTATACACTCTGTGACTTTGATGAGTTACTTGACTTCTCTAAACCTCAGTTTACTCCTTTGTCAGACGGGAGATCTAATAGTGCTGAGAATTGAATGTGGGAATACGTGTTGTGGGATTAGAGCAGCACTTGAGAGGGAATCGACCCTTAATAATTTATAGATTACAGTTCTATTTTAAAAGTATTAATAAAGCCTGAAATCAACATTAGGTCCATTAACAGAATTAGTGGATGTTCAGCAGTCAAATCCTGGAAAATCAAGATTTATTGTACTCGAAATAACAATTTATCCTGTGTAGCAGGAGTTGGCAAACTTTCCAGGTGCGGGTTGATGTGCCACACTGATTGAGCAAAGAAGGTCAGGACGAACCCCTCAAACCCCTGGGTTGACCAGGCACCCCTCTCAAAGTGACTAATCCATTGGTCTGATGTTCTCCCAGTCTTAGCATAACAGAGAGACTGCAGAGCAAATGGGAAGCTCCTCCAAGAAAGAGATCATATCACTCTCCCTTCCCCTCTGTAGGGTCCCCCTCCACCTGTCCCCTTACTGCTCCCCACTAGATCCCAGTACTGCGTGGAGTGACATCGCCCCCTGGTGGAAAGCATAGCTTACTGCAGCAGTACATAAGCCAAACAGACTGTGGATTATCAGCTAGAGATCTGATTGTAACTATACACAATACCAGGAGATAAAACAAAGGGAACTTTTTCTCTGGAGGGTGATGAGCATGTTCTAAAATGTATTGTAATGATGGTGAATGGTAGTGAATATAGTAAACATCATGGAATCTTATTCATCAAATGGGTGACGTAAATGATGTCTATTCTATCTCAATAAAACCATTATAAAAGTAGAAACATTAGAGAGATTGGCCTGCAGTTTTCTTTTTTTGTGTTGTCCTTGTTCGGTTTTGGTATTAGTGTAATGTTGGCTTCACAGAATGTGTTTGGTGTTATCCCTTCCTTCTCAATTTTTTTTTTTTTTATTTACATAAGCACTGGGTACAGTCAGAAGCACGGGAGGGTGAGAGAATTCACCAGAGCCAGAGCAGGGAGCAGACCAGGCAGAAGGGCTGAAGTACACTGCTGAGGGGAGCAGCGGGCGGCAGGAGAGGTCTGCGTGCTTGCTTGGCGGCCGGGGATCGAACCAGGGCTGCAGAGGCTGCGGGCAGCTTCGCAACCCAGCACTCAACAGCTGCGCCACCAGGGAGGCCCTCCTTCTCAATTTTTTGAAAGAGTTTGGTTCAACATCACTTGTAATCAGGGAAATGCAAATCAAAACTATAATGAGATACCATCTCACACAAGTGAGAATGGCACATATTAAAAAAAACCTAGCAAATGTTGGCAAGGATGTGGAGAAAAAGGAACTTTCCTGCACTGCTGGTGGGAGTGCAAAATGGTCTAACCACTGTGGAAAGTTGTGTGGAGATTTCTTGACCTACTAAAGATGGAGCTTCCATATGGTCCAGTAACTCCACTCCTAGGTATTTACCCAAAGGACACAGAAACATTAATTCAAAAGGGCACCTGCACCCCTGTTTATAGCAGCACTATTTACAATAGCTAAGCTTTGGAAACAACCCAAATGCCCAAAAATAGATGACTGGATCAAGAAGATGTGGTACATATACACCATGGAATATTACTCAACAATCAAAAAAGATAAACTCATGCAATTTGCAGCAACATGGATGGAGTTGGAAGAGATCACGCTCAGCGAAATAAGCTAGAAAGAAAAAGAAAAATACTGGGTGGTATTCACTCATAGCAGGAATTTAGAAAACCTAAATAAAGGACCAGGAAAAAGACTAACTGCAATAAAGTAAAAATCAAAATCAACAAGCAACTGTAGACCAGGGACATAGTACAGTGTGGTGCGGGGGGAGGAGAAGAGGAGATGGGGTCAGAAAAAGGGGGTGGAAATTATATGAGGAATATAACCAAAATGAAAAAGCATACATTATGCAAAAATGAAAAATGATGTAAGAATTATATAAAATAAAATAATTCATAAAAAGTAGAAGTAGAAGAAGAATCTAAAAAAAATTAAAGACAAAGGTGAGGGTCCTTGTGATGTGGACAGCGACCCAGGCCCCTGTGGAGGGAGCCGGAGGTTCTGGCCTGATGCCAGTGTACCCCTGTCCCTGCCATTACTACATGGAGCTGCACTTGTGAACTAAGTGCAAATGAACATGCTTTGCTGAGAATTCCTTTACCTGGTATTGGTTGCAAAAAATAAAAAAGAAGCATCTGCAGAAGATGAGTCTGTGTAAGGACGATGCAGACTCCACAGTGAAGTGAAGAGACCTGAAAGAAATCTGTGTGGGGTGCAAGGAAAGCTGAGATGAGGGGGGGAATTTGGGGACAGACAGACCTCCCCATACATGATGGGAGAGCTCTGATGGAGTGGCCAGTTTGCCAACACACATGGGTTCAGCTTTCCAATTTCATCTTAGATCAAGAAACCACATAGGAAACATTTTGCATTTTCTTACGAATCAGACATACACTTACCATGTAAACTTTCAATCCCACTTTGAGTATTAACCCAATGAAATGAAAGCTTATGTTGACACAAATCCTGTAACTGTTTAGAACAGCTTTATTCAAAAGTGTCTCAATGTCCTTCAGTGGGTGACTGGATAGCATGTGGGATATCTAGGCAATGGGATATATTCAGCAAAACAAGAGTTCAGTTATCAATACAGTCAACACTTGGAATGAATCTCAAAATAGTTACGGCGAGTGAAAGTGGTCATTTAGGCCACACAATATATGACAATGACAACCTGGTAAAGTTGAAGCAATGGAGATGGAGATTAACCTA